GCTTTTATTGATTTTATAGTTATTAGTTCATATAATATATATTTTTWATATTTATGTTAACAATGTACAAAATATGATTAAATTGAATATTGTTGTAGAAACTAAATTAATGAATATGTAATACAATTTAAAAAAACATTTGAATTAATTAAGAGAATAATATCAACAGTAAAATTATGTTTAATAATGGTTTGAAATATTCTAATTTTTGGTATGTGACATGTGTAGGAAGAGGATGGTGTTGTAGAAAACATAGCACTTTCAAGAAACAATCATACAAATCAAAGACAACATCACAGCATCATGTATGCACCAAAATGTCTAGTTTTGGTTTCGAGATTAGATTATATCGAAACATTCCGAGTAATATAATTTTAAATACTTATTTAATTTATTGTATTAATATTAATAATAATTGTATGAAATATTTTCAGAATTGTTTAGGTATTATTTACACTGTTTATGTAGAAAATGTAGAAACTCCTATAGAAACATTAGTAGGAAATATGTTGGGTTGTGTTCAAGTTCCTCAGCCAGGAGGRCCTCAAGTACGCTTTAGCATAGGTGCCGGGGATAGACAAGCATTACAACCTCCATTATCTCAAACATTGCCCGTAACCAAAAATGCAGTTTATTTATTATTTCAAGAACTTGGTAATTAATTTTTTTTTTAACTACATTTAATGTATATAATATTATGTTTACTCCAATTTAAAATTTTTGAAATTTCTGTTTAGGAATTCATAATGTTGTTGTATTATTCTGTGCTATTATGACTGAACAAAAAGTACTGATGACTTCTAGAAGTTATAGTAGACTCACTGAAGGTTGTTCTGCTCTAATATCTCTTATGTATCCATTCAAATATAGCCATGTTTATATACCATTGTTACCTGCGGGTTTAGTTGAAGTATTGTCCACTCCTACACCATTTCTAATGGGTGTACATGCTTCTCTTAAAACTGATGTTTCTGAACAAGTAAGCATACTAAATTAATTAGAGTTTTAAGTTTACATTTATAAACTATACATTTGCRTTATGGTGGCATGTAGATGGATGTGATAGTAGCTGATTTGGATGGTGGCAGTATTCTGGTACCTGACGGTATAAGTTTACCTTTATTGCCTGAGCCACTATTAACACAAACTCAAGATTGTTTAAGTCTAGTGTTACAACCAGAATTGTGTTGTGCAGACCATGCATTCCCTCCGACTTCTAATACTGTTCAACCACCACCTCCTACGCTCATTGATAAAGAAGTGAGAGCTGTTTTTATGAGAACATTTGCTCAATTACTTCAAGGTTATCGTTGTTGTTTGACTATTATACGAATACATCCGAAACCAGTCATCACATTTCATAAAGTAAATCATTAAAAAATAAGTTACATTAACAAGAATTCACAAAAAAAAAAAAAAATAATAATAATAATTAAAATAATTAATTTCTAGGCTGCATTTTTAGGCGAAAGATGTTTAATAGATGATGAGTTCACTACTAGAGTGTTAGACTGTATGTTTTTTAATAGTTTTGTTACGGAAAGAGGTCCAGCTTGGCGTTCTTGTGATCAATGGGATGAGTTATATTGCAATATGAATGAATTACTTCGAACTGAGGCGTTAGATGATGGTCGTTTAGTTCTTACTCATATCCAGGTATGTTATGTATTTGATATGCATGGTAACCTTAATTTTTTTCTTAAATAGGACATTCATTCAAATTTTGATTTTTAGAATTTTTTTAATTAGTTCTAATGACCATTTTTCAAATTTCTAATGTTTTTTGTACCACATAAAGAGTGTCCTATTATAGCAATACAAACTTCTATTTTTCAAATGAGATCCCATATTTTTAACTGTAAATTATTATCGGATATTTTTTGTGAACATTTTAATAAATCGAAATCGAAATCTAATCTGTAGTTTCTTAGTTGTTAAAATATTTACACCTAGGATAATAATACTTAAAAATGATTTTACAAAAATAAAAACTAATTGTAATATTAGATGTATATTTATTATACGTTTATCATTTTTACAAATTATTTGTTTTGATAAATCAATAGTAATTAATAACTTTTTTAATTGTCTAGGCCCCTATATTTAGCTAACCCATTACTATAGACTAAGTGATACAAAAAATTTCAAAGATTCAAAARTATAGTATTCAAGTGTATTTAAAAATTCCAAAATTCATAATTTGAATATATGTTTATTTAAGTATAAAAGTAGGGTGGGCATGCTTAAAGCCACTTTGTAWATTTGTAATCWYATTATGTTTACTAATTAATAATACAAGATTCAGATCATTTTTAGGTAAGAAGTAATATTGATTCCATAAATATTACAAATTTATTATATTAAAATTTGATGTTTTGTTTTTAAGATTTTTCAATTTACGAATTTATTTAATATTAGTTGTTAATAATACATATATTTGAATATTTGAAAATTAAACTCCAGTAAAATGTGTCATTTATTGTGTTATWCATTTGACTTGATCATTCATAATGTCTTAGGAATTAGCTCAAGCATTATACTTAAATGAAAATCCCAATCCACAACCATATGTTCAAAAAATCTTGAAACCTCCAGAAGGGGCATTTACTAGAATTCATCAACCTCCATTTCCAAAACTTGATGCCAATTGTGTTCAGACAATTATTGATGACGGTTTAATTAAACATAATTTGAACTCAAAGTTAGTATTTTGCTAATTTATATTCT